TGACACAATACATCAAGAAAACATGACAATACAAACAAACAGACACTCGCTCACACACTCACACATAAGAGATGTTATACTATATAACACTTTTTAGTTAATTACATCGTCGTACGCTAAATCTTCAAATTGAAAATAACTTAATTATATTTGAATTGTACTGGCAGATTGACTTATCTGTTTTCACCATATATCTAAGCGATGAAAACAAACCTCCTAATGTTGGTTTACCCTGTGAACATCTTCTTAAATAAATATAAAATTTAAATTGCAACATAATGAGATTAATAATTGGAGAGAGGCTCACAGAGCCGACTAAGCAATTCCTTTTTGAGACAGGTAGAGTAACTTGAGTATTAGATAATATATATTCTACCAAGTCGGTCAATAATTTTTGGGTAACCGCACAATTCCAGAATAAATGCTCAGTTGTTTCTTCAGCTCCTTTGCAAAGGGAACATATACTGCTGTCGACCATTTTATATTTGAAAAGCAGTGAATTTGTGGTAAGGATATTATGATTAATTCGAAATTGGAACCAGTGAAGCTTTGAATCTTTTGTTATTGTGAAAGGAAGTTCGAAAATCTTCGGGCATTCATTTTCCTCCAAATTTAACAACTCCTTCCATTTATTCATACCTTTTGACATCTCAAGAACACCTACTTTACTTAAAGTTTTATAATAAATCTTTGAGCCTTTTGAACAACCTGACAGCAACAATATATGATCAGGAATTAAAGGAGTGGCAATTTTACTTAATTTTTCAGGAATACCACCAAGCCATTCTTTTATGGCTGAGATAATTCCATTGTATTCGACAAAATTTGTGTCAATACCGTGGATATCCCTGAACGCAGTGAAGTCATAGAACTCTCCAGAGTCCAGGAGTAGATCATTAACAAATCTAATGTTTTTGTCATACCACGATGTATAGAAGACAGGTTTATTTCCAATAAGTATATTTTCATTTAGAAAGAGTGGAATGTTACCAAAATCCTTGATTATATTGGCCATTATTATACCACAGAGTTCTTTCCAGGCTGCTAAGGCATCAATCCAGAATCTATTTTTTATGTTTTTCAAGATTTTTGAGATATATTCTGTACCACATGTGATTAGTTTTTCAGTGTCTACATATTTAGATATAATATTTTTCCATTCTTTATTTTCGAACATAAGTCTTCTTACCCACGGAATTTTTAACGATTTTATAAAATGCCTCACGCTTACCATCCTCAAGCCCCCAGCTTTATAATCTCTTATAATGATATTTCTTTTAATTTTATCAGGTTTATTATTCCAAAGAAAAGAAAAAAGACACTTTTCTAATTCTTTAATCTGTTTTTCCTCTGGGTTTGGGAGCGATATAAATATATGATTCAATACCGGCAAGGCTAATGTTTTTATTACTGTTATTTTACCAATTGGTGTTATATTTCTTACTCTCCACTGATTAAATATTTTTTTCATGGAAGTTAATTTGGTCTCCATATTTTGCTTCGTTATCTTACCTAAATCTACGTCAAATTCTATCCCTAGCATTTTGAAACTAGTTTTTCCCCAATCTAATCTATATTTTGGGCAGAGGATATCTTTAGAGTATCGCTTTGACCCAATCCATATAACTTCAGTTTTAGAGAGATTAATATGCAGACCGGAGATCTTCGAAAATTTATCCAAGACAAACATACATTCATTCAGTGACTTTTCACTCCCGTCAAGTATAAGAGTAGTGTCATCTGCATATAATGAAATTTTTAATTCTTTTGCACCTATATTAATACCCTTTATATTGTCATTGTTTCGTATAAGCGCTGCCAATATTTCGGCGCATAGAATAAAGAGAGAGGGTGAGAGGGGATCCCCCTGACGGCATCCTCTATTAATTTTAAAGAATTCCGACATATTCCCCCCTTGATTTACTGTAGCAGAGATGTCATTGTAGAACAATGATACCCATCTCCTGACTGAATCACCAAAGTTAAAAAAGGTCAGAGCCTTTTGAATGAATGACCAAGACAAGGAATCGAATGCCTTTTCAAAGTCAATTAATAACAGTAACCCAGGAATATTTTCTTCCTCAGTATACTGCATTATATCGTATATAAGTCGCGTGTTCTCTCCGATATATCTGCCAGCCATGAATCCGGTTTGTTCCGGATATATTAATTTATCTAACACTAGTTTTACCCTAGCAGCTGTCGAACCCGAGGCGATCTTGTATATAGTATTGAGAAGTGATATGGGGCGCCAGTTTTTAAGAAAGTGGCGTGGTTTATCTCCCTTCGGGAGGCAAGTGATTATACCTTGTTTTTGCGTCACCGATAACTGGCCAGTTTCGTAAGCAAAATTAATTGACCTGACAACAAAAGAGCTTAGTTGTCTCCAAAATACCTTATAAAATTCAACTGAAAAGCCGTCAGTTCCCGGGGATTTGTTCGATTTCATTTTAGATAATGTTTGTGCTGCTTCTTCCTCCGTAATGGGCCCTTCCAATTCTGCGGCTTCCAGATTGCCGAGTTTATAAACATCGTTAAGGGTTACCTCATTATCTAGGTTAACATCTTCTATGTTATGCTCCCGGCATGCATACAGATTTTCATAAAATTGTTTGGTATTTTCTAGTATCTTCCCCTGGTTAACAATAATTGTGCCATCGTCTAGCTGAATTCTTGGAATCAGTTTATTGGTAAAATTTCTCGATTCTAGACCACAAAAATATTTAGTTGGTTTTTCGCCTTCCTCCACCCACTTAGCTCTAGATCTTATAAATGCGCCTTGTAATTTTTCTTTTCGTACTTCCTCCAATTCTTTTTGCTTTTGTCTTAAAGTCTGAATATTGGCCTCGCAAGTTATATTTTCTAAAAGTTCAATTTCCTTAACTAACTTCTTTTCTATTTCTGACTTTTTCTTTTTTTGGTAAGACGCATACGAAATTGTCTTACCCCTAATTTCCATCAAAAGGGTTTAAAAAAATAGCTGATCATTTACCGTAAAATGGATTTCTCTGTCCGGTATATTTTGGAAGTATTTTTAGCGTTAGTTCTCTGGTGTAGAAATCAGGACGCTCCTTTATACTGAATTTTGAGGGTGAGGTCACTGTTTACCGTGCCTGATGGTCACAGGATAATTATCCTTATATAAATGGTTACTAGTTATACTGGCTACTTGGCCTTAAACTTCTATTCTATTTTATGCTCGTTGATAAAACAATACTTTCACCCGTAATTGATGATTAATAAACATAATACTGGGCGCTTAATATAATATATGTGCGGCCCTTCGAATGTATAATCTTATAAGGCTCGATGGTCACATTTGCATCTCCAGTTAAGGTAGCACCGTCCAACACCGACTTTCAAGATAGCTTAAGATTTCTCTGTACCTTTGAGAGATTAAAGGATAATCACTTAGAATTGCTCTTGTAGAAAATCTGAGATAGAGATAGAGATGACAGCGGTGTGACTAATATATTCCCAAGAAGCCAGGTGTGGCATTGGCCTATTACACAAAAGGTTTAATTGCTAAATATTACGTAAAGGTTCATCTTGCTACCAACTGCGTTACATAGTTATACTTGCATATTTTTTTTTCAGTTTTTGATCGGATTAGTTTTTGCTGTCTTTCAGATGAAAATAGGCAGTGTGACGGTGACGCTGGTTGCTACCAGTATATGTCTTCTAGGACTATACCAGCTACTGTCTGGGATAACATGGCTGCGCTACAATGGATTCCTGAGACTTGTACCGAGCTTTAGATTCTATTTCAAGTTGAGAAGAGATCACATGAAGTCCAAGTGTCATGTGCAAGATTCACAGTCAATAACGTGCAAAAACACGACAGTGAGGAGACTAGATCCGTTGCATCCCTCCGTTCTGCCATATATTCCCCATTTTCCGCCGCTCAAATGTAGACGACAGGCATCGGTGGTTGAAAGTAAAGTTGACAGAGAAGGATATTTGACGCTAATTATAATCAAAAACAATTCCAGGCTAACCGACAGCGTGCAGTGCTATTTTCAATACATACGACACCCGACAAAACCTTACAAAGAGGACGAGGCATTTGTTTTAAGTAAAAGGATTTCTTTACCCCCAGAAAACAGAGTAAAACTTCAGGAAGATTTCGTGTATGTTTCTTGCATTAACAGAGCCGGATACAAAGTCTATGAAAATTTCCATCTCCACATGGTAAACAGAGATGAGCCTATTTCCAAAAAATACTCTGAAACAACGGGAAAACAACCGAGGCTGAATGTGTTAATTATGGTCAACGACGGAGTGTCGTTATCTAGCGCCGCTCGATATATTCCAAAAACGCTTCAATATCTGTCCAATGAAATGAACGGGACCATCTTTACCGGGTTTCATGCACTGGGTGAGAATTCGTTGCCTAATATATTTCCGGTTCTGACAGGATTACCCCATTCTGAGGCCAGTATCGATGCTCCGTTCATATGGAAACACTTCTCAGAACAGGGTTACAAGACGTTTTACTTGGAAGACACAATAACAGCCACGATCAGTTATATAGGCGACGGATTCGCTAAACCACCAACAGACTACTACACACATCCATTCTGGGTGGCAATGGAAAATTCGTCCTTGTATTGGGACTCACAGACTTTCTGTCTTGGTGATATGCCTATACATCGCATTGCAATTCAATATTTGGCCAATTACGTGGAAAAACACCGATACCAGTCATATTTTGCTCTTTATTTTCTTAATGCAATAAGTCATCATTCAGACACGGTTATTCAGTTGGGAGATGAGGATTATCGAGACTTTTTAATAGACCAAAAGAGAATAGGCCATTTTAACAACACGATAATGCTATTTATGAGTGACCATGGTTCAAGGTACTTTCTCTCTCTCTCTCTCCCTCTCTTTCTCTCTCACTCTCAAACACACGCGTGCGCGCGCTCATACCTACACAGTCGCACACTTGCAATCACGCACTTACACATTTGCTAGCAAAAAATCATGTTTTGAGTCCCAATTAAGACAGGCAACTTTTTTGCACTCTATGAATACTCCAATTTTTTGTTATTCAAGGTTTGGGAGGATACGCTCCACCCCTATTGGTCACCTGGAAGCCAGAAACCCTATGCTAATAATGGTTCTGCCACCATGGCTCAGGAAGCAGTATCCGCACATAGCAGCAGCTGTGAACTCGAATGCAGATCGACTGGTTACTCCATACGATATCCACGCCACGCTGCTGGATATCCTTCACTCGCGTTTACCAACTGTCACAGAGAGTACCGATGGCAAAAAACATGAAGGCGGATCAGGGAAAGGATTAAGTTTGTTCCGAAATCTCCCCATCAGAAGGACGTGTGCCTCAGCAGGTATACCAGAAGACACCTGCACTTTATGTACACCACTGGAACCAACTTTTCTAGATGTCAATTCTCAGAAAGCACACTTAATTGCCAGCGCCGTATTGGCCAGAATAAATGACATCATCAATGCGACATCTGAGTGCAACTTTCTACACATTTCAAAGATTATCTATATCGCCATAATATCTGGTAACAGACCCTGTTTTACTTATAGTGTAATTATTAAGACAGTGCCAGGGAGGGGAATATTTGAAGCTTCTGTTCGTGAAACGACGGCAACGGCTTCTGTCTCCACAGAGAGCCAATACTCTGTAATCACCCCAGTCATACGACTCAGTCTCTACGACAGCAACTGTTGCTGCACCGATGACAATAGTATGAATAAGTACTGTCACTGTAAAATGACAACAAAACCAATGCGCAGAAAAGACATCCCTAACGGACATTAAAAAAAACGAATGCAATGAAACTGACAGTTCACGTGGCACTGCATTTACCACCAGATACATTTAGCCATTTACGGTCTTGTTTCAAAAGCTACTAAAGCCATCTTCTTATAGTAAGATTATGGTCTATACTTAGTAATTCTAATGAATTGTTTTTAAAATTTTACTAGTGCGTATATATTGACATTATAAGTTGTAGTGTTTCTGATTCATTAACCAATCAAAATGACAGTTGAGAGCCGAAAGAGATAATGTTTTGTACCAAATTAAAGAGATTACAACTCTTAGTATGAGATTCATATTTCATATATGAATAAATTATAAACAGTTCAAAAATATAATAAATTGCACTAAAACCGCTGTTATTGCAATTATTCTGGAATTTGTGCTTGCCATCAGACAACATGGACCTTCATAGATGGCTTGCCTCCGCCATAATCTCTTACTTCATTATGAAAAACTAACTGTAAAAAAGGGGGCTAACTCTGAATGTAGGAATGGTTTCATGAACCATTGGTTAGTATAAAAAATGGTCGTTTAACTCGGGACAATTCGTTTTTTGTCAAAACGAACAATTGTTATCCATATAACGTCATCAAGTGGCTGACCTATAGTATATAGCAGTCACTCAGAGGGGTAGTTGTAGTGACTGGCTTTTTGTCTCAAAGACAGTCATAAAGATGGCATCATATCCTGGCAGAATCTGACGAAAATGTTGCTCAGTGATGAAGAGAGGCTGTTGGAGCAGACAGCAAGGCTCAGAAAATATTGTGTTGGTTTCATATCTGTACTTGGTGGACTTGACTCCAAACTACAAATTTACCATTTAGTTGCTCTAAGCTGTAAGTGGATCATCGGCCTGGACTTGCATTTGATACATTGTGACTTACCGACTCAGGCAATTCATTATATCCTGTCCACGCCCTCTGCCCCCCCCCCCCCCCCCCCCCCCCNNNCCCCCCCCCCCCCCCCACCACCACCAAACAGCCTCTTCCTTGCAGTGACTTACTAGTCATATCTGACAAAGTTCTCCCCTTTTTGGTTACAGGATGTCAGTGCCGTTCGTGATGTTCTTCATGTTGATCATAATCACTTGCCCTCTCTAGCTCTGGTCCCCAGATTATTCTTGTTCAGGTTCCATCGATGACCACCAATTGTGTTTTGGCACTAATGTGATATCCACTCCAAATATAATTTACTACCATTTCATAGAGGGCAATTTAGGAACAATTTCTGGTTGCATGATGCAAATGCCGGTTCGTACAGTCTACATGTAATTGCAGATAATTTACAGAACCAAGGGAATGGGCAGCTACCGTGACCATCAAAACACGATTTTAATCCTCTTAATTTCATTCATCAGTTAGAAAAATAAAAAAAATGAAAAACGGCTTGCAAGAAAAAGTACATATTAAATGTCAAGTCTGTACATTCACATCCATATGTGCATTTTCAACGGCACCTACTGGTGCGTGGTATTCATTTGATCTCATATTCTATGATAATGCAGATGCGCCAAGTTCCATTGAATTATTTCTCTGATGCAACTTCAATTAGTTGAGAGGACGTGAATGTGCTGTAACCAGGTAATGTTATGAGCTAATGTATCTCCAATGTTAAGTTAATAACAGTATGATATGTGCAGGTAGGGCTTTAACAACTTGAGGGGGGACGGAGGTGGTACTGGGAGTAGGTGAGTGTAGACATTGTGAACTTTTTAAAATGAAAAGACAAGGAAGACGCTCAAAATAATATTAACACGCAATAACTGCATATCTATCTCGACTAAAACGAGCCCATTAAAATGACATAGGTGCCTAGTTAAACGCACCAGTGTTAAAATTTATTGTGCAATCGGAAGGCTCAAAAACTGTCTCTAAAACCAGGGCTTCAATAGCTCAGATCCTGACCATAATTTATGGGTGCATGTAGGATCAAGATGACATAACAAACAGACTCAGACCGCGTCCTTGTCCAGTGGGAATACAATTTCCCTTCTTGCCAAACTGCTTTCCTCGGCCTCTGTCATTCGGTGACAATTGCCTTATTCGCCGATCTCCGATCTCAGCCTACGTACACTGTGCTGTGGTGATTTAACATTAAACTGCATTTGATTAGATGTGTAGAATTGCTTTATCCATCGAATAGCAATGTAGATGCGATATAGATGGAAGAATGTGTAGGGGAACAAAACGTTTCTGTTATGTAAAAGTAGACAGAAAATTCATCTCTCAGTGCCGTTTCCATATTGTACTTCACAAAATGTATTTATATATTTATATAAAATGAGACAATGCGCTGCAAAAAGCATAGACATACAAATACAGTTCTTGAGTCAGGCTCTATCTGAAGTTAAATATTTATTTTCATTCAAATGGAGTTTAGGAGGTATCTTGAACCGAAATTGACCAATGGTCCATTTATCTTGTGAAACCGTATCCAGGAGTATATGCATACTTGCTACGTTCGTTTACATATTTATTTGTTTTAAATTTGTAGGTTGTGATCCTAGGTGATTTGCAGTGGTGCGACATTTGAATATGAAACGAACATTAAGAAGAAACCCGTTCACACTCTTTGCAATAAGTATAATCATACTACTGCTGGTTGTGAACTATAGCTTGAAGCAAAGATGCACGGTATCAGTGGAGAAACAGCTGGTAGGCCTACTTTGTTTATAATGTTGACAACATGAAGTTATATTTCCTTCTTATAAGTATATTTGATGAGAACCTTTGCTTTTGTTTCAAGGTAAAATACGCTTATTGATCTAGTTGAAACACGCAATTTCAGTTATTATATTATTTAAAAGGACGTAACAGGCCGTACAGGCATACAAAATATGATTATCATAAAACGAAGAATACAACTGCATGAGAAAATTTGTTTTAGGTATATTTCTTCCGCTGTACTTAGTAATGTTATGTGACCGTAGCTTTGGGTTCCGATGCATGATCAGCACGAATTCTGTATAGAAATTGCCACTTATGCCCACCCAAACCATAACACTGTGTCAACTGCAATAATCAATGACACGACCCTTGCCCAGAGCAATAATGCCATGATGTTAGCGTGGCATTCAGTTTCCTAAACTTGGTTTTTCTGGTTTGATTCCAGCGTCCAATAGTATTGACTGTGGACAACTGACTGATGTACCTACGACTTTTGACTGATTTGTGTCCGGATAAGAAGTATTCAAATCTCGGGCTAGCCATTGTCTAGAACAACCCAAATGTGTCAGTGCTCTAGGCCTACAGCAGGACTGACATGGTCTTCTGTCACTGGATACAGTAACAATACTAACGTGCATATTTGGGAATTTGAAGCACTGTGGTGGAGACAAAAGCTTGGGTTACTTTTAGTTTTTGCTATTATTATATAACTGGGATTGTTTTGCATTTTTATTTCTTTCAGGTAGCACAAAACAGGAAAAACAGACAGGCTCAATTGGCCAAAGGTATGTCAATCTTACTTTTGTTACAATTGTTAAACCAAGTCCGATTACAATGAGCAATGTCCATACTACAATGTAAAATCAGGTAGCCGACAATTCTCATAATAGAAAGTTTATACAAAGTTTTATATTTGCTTATTTTGATGTTTTAAGACACAAGGCTCATGAAATAATTAACTTAAAGAAATACAGACTTGACATTTAATATAGAATTCAATTTTCAAAAGTAAGTCTAGGTATAAAGCTTATTGTTTATAAATAACTCTTATGACATATTTAAAAAGAGAAATATGTACTCAGGTAGTCATTACTCGCTGAATCAAAGACCTCTGACCAAAACTGAATCAAATTGAACAAGCTGTGACCGATGCCTGGAGTGTTATCCATGCTTTAATGCTTTAACTTCAGGAATCCTAAAAAAGGAGTGCCGTTTAAGAGCCCTGGTAGCAGCCAGAAAATAATATTAATTACTATTTTAATACATATGTGGGTTTAAAGGGTTGTTGCATGACTGAAAATCAGTTATTTATTATATTTGCTTAATTAAGGCTGTTCAATTGAAGATCTAGTTTCACATTGACACTAGAGATATGATTAAAAAAAATTAAAACACGATTTGAATCCTTGTTTTCATTTATCAGTCATAATTAAAGGACAAACCGAAGATAAATGATTTAGAAAAATATTCAATATTAAATGCTCTCTATATATATATAACTCTTTGAATATACAGTAAATAACAAGATGCATTAAATCTTCGCAGCATAAGATACATGATAAACATTAAGTAATTTTGTCATCGTTTCAGGGAACAGCAAAATGGGTTACTTACGGGATGATACAGACAGCACCCATTCCTTCCCACCTTGTGGTCAAATCTGCAATTTTTCCATGCATAAGAAAAAAGAAGACCTTTTCCTAAGAAAAGACTTCAACTGTAAGAATATATTTCTCAGATTAAAGAATCCACCCGGGAAAGTTTTCATACCGCCCCTGAGAGAGCCGCCACCAGAGCTGCTTCTGGATTTCACACAGAATGGTAGTTTGATGTGGAGTTCTGATTACAGGGATGGCACACGTAAAGGTCGAAAGGTACACCGTAAATCGGACGAAATCAGAACTCTCCTGGCTGATGATAAGGTGAAGAGCATCGCCAAATATGACATTCAGGGCGTTGGCTACAAGCAGCTTCTCTCCAAATACCAAGATCAATTGAAAGGCAAGTCAGGAATGGTCATTGGAAGTATAAGTCCTTGGGTTGAAGTCATTTTATTAAACCTTGGTGTAATACACGTGACAACTGTAGATTACAACCCTGTTCTCTTTGACCACCCACAGCTGTCTTTCGAGTTTATGTCAGATTTAGCGGATAAAATCACCAAGAACCAAAAGCTTCTAATGGATTTTGCTGCTTCGTTTTCTTCTTTGGAACACTCTGGCCTTGGTCGCTACGGGGACCCCATCAATCCATATGGCGACCTGGAGGCAGCAGCTCAAATATGGTGCATGCTTAAGCCTGGTGCTTTGTTTTATCTAGGTATACCAGTCAACTTTGGCACTCCGGAGGGCTGGTTGGTATTTAATGCACATCGTATATATGGGGAAGCTAGGATTGAACAGATCACTGCAAATTATGAGATACTCGAACGTACACCGGTTGGTAGATTGCATGGTGTCTTTGTCTTAAGAAAAGGGCTTTAATAAAGATGAACAAAAACTACAAAACAGACATGTGACTTTACAGAGCGAATTTTGATGCTGATTCTATAAATTAAAAGACATGCCGTGTCGTTTCTTTTAATATGTGGCATTTTTTTTTTACTTTTATTGAAATCACTGTGGGGAAGCATATGCATGAATGAGGGGATCCATGTTCTTAATTTGAATAAAGGGTATAAATACGGATATCTTTACACGTAGTTTGACTTATAGGCCTTATCGACAATGTAGGTGACACGAAGTATGTTACTTACAAAATACATTTTTGATGAAGTGAGGTATAAAAACACTAGGCCTTTCTCTAACACATTGATTTACTCAGTGAACCGCTTTTCAATTTACCTTCTAGATCACATTGTAATGACTGTGTTTCATCCAAGCGATTTTTATTTTGCCAAATATTTGTTTCTTTAGCATCAACTCTCACTGTCATCAATACGACTTTAACTAACCAATATGACGTACAACCAATTATCTAAAGTTCCACTTTTTTTCTTTAGTCTTACTCTTATATTTTTGTAAAGTATCTATGGAAATGGGGTCTTTCATGCTGTACAGGTAATAGACCGACTAGTAAGGCAACCTTCTTCTACTCTTGTTCATGTGCTATCACTGGGATGAGATGTGTTAGCTGTACCTTGGCCCAGCTGCAAGCGCAATAACCAACTCAACCAATGTCATTCAATCAGTCAAACAAACAGGACTGGTCTATTTGTGGGTATAAGATGAGCTCGCAACCTTATAGTGTGATTTACAGATGCTGTGTATTGAAATAGTACTTGTAGTCCGGTGGCTTAAGGAAAAAATCGTGACACGGCGGATAAAAGCACCAAATTTTGCATGTGGGTACCTTTTGACATTCTAAATCAATTAGAGCCGTAGCCCACGGAAAAAAATTACCGTTTGGCCAAAAAATTCCAAAATGGCCGCCAATTTATTGAATTCTTTAGAAATATGTACATACCTATGTTGATTTTTATCAAATAAATTATTTTCTCAGAGTTTTCCACACCCTTATTACCCATTTTATTCATATATGTCAGATAGCAAACAAGTTCCCTTGGATTTTTTGAAAAAATCCAAGATGGCTGTCATTTGCCATAGAAACAGCCATATGAATACTAGTGCACAACTATTACCAGCTAGAACGATACGTTGTCCACTATCAAATTAAGTCTGTTTCTCGGATCTTTGTTACCCACATAATATTTTTGTGGTGAGTAACTACGAAGTGTTCTTGGGCATTTTGGAAAATCCAAGATGGCTGCCATGTGCCACAGGAATTCTAGTATACGGGGGATTCAACTAATGGCAACTGGAAAGATTAGTTTTTTACTATCAAATTAAGCTGGTTTCTGAGTGTTTTCCACATCCTTTCTACCCACACAATATGTATGTGGTGAGTAACTAACAGTATGAAAAAATCCAAGATGGCCGTCACATGTAATAGGAATACTTCTACATGTATCAATTCCAACATGAAATAAAGCCTTTGATGTTTAAACATGTTGACATCCTCATTAACCTTACTCTTTATAAATCTGGTGTGTAGCAAGTGTGCATCTTGCGTATTTGAGAAAATTCAAGATTGCTGCAATTCACAATAGGAATAGTACAGTCAACTACTGCCAGAGAGACATTGGGTTCAATATAAAATGAATTTTGTTTCTCGGTATTTCCCACATTCTTTTTGGACTTTTAGATATCTATCTGGTGGGTAACAAGTGTATACCCTTAAGTATTTTGAAAAAATATCATGATTACCCTCATTTGCCGTAGAAGTGCCTATAAAATCTAATGCACCAGTTTTCCTATGGGGAAAAGAAGGCAATCTAGGATTTCCCCAAAATGATAAAATATGGACATTAATTACCTAACAGATATGTATCATGGGATAACAATACTAAAAAA